AGGATATCGTTTGGATGAACCCTGCGATTACCTCAAAAGGGGCATCCGCTGTCTCTAGGAGCTCATTAAGAGACTATAAGACAAGATGGGAACCATTTTTAGTTCCTGTTGCAGTCATTGTTGCAGATAATAATTTCTGGTTTCCATTTTTATTCACTTTAACAAAAAATGCTCCTAAAACTGTCAATTTCACACAATGCATACCCATTTATCGAGTGGTACTTGTGCAAGTGACCCAGTGCCTTGGTAGAGATCAAGGCTGAGCTGATCCAAGCTCAGTTTCTCCTGCAGAAAATTGCCCAGGTACCGATGCAGGAGGTACCTGCAGGCTCGCTTTTTGATTGACTCTGAAAATGGCCAGGGCATCTTAACTTGGTAGTGGAATAATGCGGTGGGAATGAAATGGGGGCTTTGTGACTTTGTTATTGCTATGCAAAGCTATGAAGGAATCACTGATTTTACAGTCCTGTCATCCTGTCGATTTGAAGGTCCTGGAAAAAGGGGAGCTCAAACATCCTTCACATCCCAAGACCTGGGACACGCTGGAGGATGTGTTGACACTCAGAGATAGGTGTGGGAATCGATCCGACTCCAGTTTGCTGCACCTACACAAATGAAAACACATTTGTTATCTGACACCAAAACGTGTTTTAACCCACCTTATAAATCATAAATAAAAAGCGATATGGCAGACTATAAACAAACAAACAACAAATAAACAATTTAACCTCTGTGTGTGTGTACATAGTATGCCCCTACCCCTCAAACTCATAAATGTGCTTGCGAAATCGCTGTTAGCATCGCAGGGATGAAAACAAATCTATGTCGGATTTAGCTCTGCTAATAAAAACCCAGCTGTCATTATCCAACCGGACATTTGTTTCGAATACCGGTCAGACAAAGGCAAGAGACGTCAAGAGACTTAGCTAACTAGCCGGCTAGTAGTGATGTTTAGCATAGGGAATATACAGAAGCTACAGCATCCGGTGGCTAACGTTTAGCTAAGGTTATAGCATTGAGCTAGCTAGCAATGTAGCTAAGCTAAAATCCAATATATCCCTTTATAAGCAATTTTACATTGAACATTTAATTATATATATACAATTCACACAAACATATATATGACACGTGCTGTGATTTTATTTAACTTACAAAAAAAACAAAAAGCAAGACATTAAATCAGCAGGTAAGTTACCTTCTGACTGAGATGTTTACAAACACTTTCATGACTTCGCACCACTGGATGATGCTGCAATAGAGGTACCTGGGAAATAGGACCTTCGAATTCAAAAATTGATGTTTTTATGCCATAAACTATTAAAAAGAAGCGCTTAATCTTCATAAAAATGTTTTAACTTGTTATCTGCTCTTTCTGTTTTATCTTAATTGTTTGGTTTTTACTCCTATTTTACGCTCCCTTTAATTGTCGGTTTATTTTGAATGCAGCACAATCTCTAACCACTCATGGTTCGGTTGGTGCATGATGTCATACCGTGGGGGGACCGTTATGCTCATGGGGGATCTTTTTACCGATGCAGATTCCTATCGAGCTTTTATGAAGTCAATAATCGCTATCAAAATAACAAAATAGTAGAAGGAGACTTCACCCTCTCTTCAGGCTGTTATAATTACTATTTTGAAGGTTAAGGAGAAACTGGTTGTGTTGGTCCCTCCCCACTCAGAGCTGCTCAGAGAGGGGCTGAAAGCTTCTACAAGCCGGAAGAAGAAAACTAACAAGGAGGTGAGCAGATTAAACGCACTTAACCTCGTCAAAAATTGATTTCTCAACTTCAAACCACATCGAAGCTCTTTAATTTTATTTAAACTGAAAGCATAGTCATGTTTAAAATCTTAAGAGTTGCAAGAATGGCAATTAAGTGTTATTTAGTTTTCATCTATTGAATGGTGGAGTTAGCCCCACTTTTAATCCGAAAACAGGTGACCAGTTTACATGCCTACATTTCTTAAAGCAAATTTAAAAGAAAAATAATGTAATTTTCATTTTATTGACGCTCGTGTTCAAATGTTCGTCTTTTTCTTTAGTGTCCACAAGATGTCGCTGTTTCAGCTTTCATCAATTAAATTTAGTTAAGCAGATACACACATTAGTATTGTAGTAATTACACTACATTACCTTCTTTATGTATATTGTACCTATAATCCAATATTATAATTCATTTACATTCAGTAAATACATTACTTTTTATAATTAAAATGTCAGTATTACAACAATCAATATTTAGTATAGATGATATAAATACTACAAAAGTTATATTTTAATTAAAGTACAATTTATCTGACAAAAGTTAGTAAAATATACCAATATAATGGCTCCTCTGTCATTTGTGTTTTGAGGAGGTTGTCTGCACATGCACTCCTTAAATAAAAATCTAAGACTTAGGATAAATTGAAATAATACTAATTTAGAAATTGTACCAGTTATAAAGACTTAAGAGAAAGTATGCATAGTTTCATCCCTTTTTTTATAGTTTGTCATGTTGCAGCCAAAAGCCTTGGTTTAGTTTATTTGAATATGTCTGTGAGAGGCCAGCACATTGTTTGGCTAATGGAGATTCAATCCATTTTTGTATGAGCTGTATGTCTTTTATCAACTGGCATAAAGAGCCAATAGAAAAAAAAAGAAAAAAAAAGGGCAACACATTGTAGAAAAAAATGTTTTCCTAATTTAAAAAGGGTGATAATTTGTGATGTACGTTTTTTTATGGGTTGTTATTTGCCAGCTTTTCATAAATAGAAACTGAATATTCTGGCTGTTGTTTGCAGAAAAGCTCAAACTCAGACTTATCTTCATTAAGCTTCAGATATTACCATTAAAAACCAACTTTTTTTTTACACGATATGTACAAAAACATCTTGGTTTTGGTTTTTGCAAGTTTTAGCAAAGATTGTGTGTTTATTAAATGTGATGTTTCAGTCAGACCTGGCTGAAGCAACAGACGGGGGTACAGGTCCTATCTTCCCAACTCTCAAGTCAAGTCCAAGTTCTATGGTTTAAATGTAAATTCATAATGAGCCATCATTTAGATCTTTATGCCATTGCAGGGCCAGTGACTATTTACATCAGTCTATGGATGTAAGGTGGGGTACTTATACGTTGGAGAATCCTAATGTTTGTAATTTCATGGCCTTCGAGGCAGCTTAAACACCAACTATAAAAACTAAAATATATGTGTCCTACCTACACAAGCACTGTGACTGTAGTCATAGCATCTGAAAAAAGTTTTGATGCAGTATAGCAGCTATCTTCATTACAGGCATGCATACATTGCTATTAAACGGCTAGTCAGTGTCAATGTAGTCATCTGTGTTTAAAGAAAGCAAACACCAAGGGACAATGCTGTCAGAAGTGCTCGGATGCAAGTCTTTCAGTAACCTTTATATAGCAACTACTAATAAGGATTTTCAATTGGAAACCTTTGCTTTTCGCATCAAAATTCCAGCTTAAGCAGGAAGTAAAGCACAACTTCCAAACTGTGGTCAGTAATCTGGATATCTGGTTTTATGCAGGAAACAACAGCAGTAACTTCCTCTTTTTAATTAATTCGCCTTCCAATAATAGAAAACCTGGACCGGTTGGCAGTCTGTCACACCGACACAGAACCAAGCACACGCACACTGATACCTTAGTGACGCCAATTAACCTAACAGTCATGTTTTTGGAATGTGCAAGGAAGCTAGAGTACCTGGGAAGAACCCACACATGCACAGGGAGAACATGCAAACTCAATGCAAAAAGATCCATTGTGCAGCCCCAGAGCTTTAAGCATTGAGTCTTTTTAAATATAACCAAGTCTATCAAATCTGTGAGTCAACTGAAAGTTCAAACCTCTGTTTTCTGTTACAAAGATATAAAAAAAAAACAAAAAAACTTTGTGTGAAGCTGAATCCAATAGCAAAGATCAGGTTTATGTCAGTAATTCATTCCCATGTGATCCACGGTGAGTTTTTAATGCTGTGCTTACAGTCTTTGCTTATTTCCCCTCCCATAAAACGGCTGATTCACCGTTTTTCAATGAGGAAGTAATGAGCTGTTCAGTGTCACTGCTGTTGCAATCCCTCAGCCAACTGAGCCAATTATGATGAAGCCACACGTGAAGCCATTCACAACCGCTGACGCATACTAAAATGTTAGGTTAGGCTGCAACCTAAAGAAAATGGACCCGACATGTTGCAGCTTGTTCAGGAACTGATTAAAATGGTGTGAAAGTACGTTTGGTGTTACTGTCATTTAGGGCTGCAACTAACGATTCTTTTCATAATCGATTCATCTGTCGGTTATTTTTTCAATTAATAATCAGATAGAGAACGGTTCCTCTAAGAAGGTTTTAACCAGAATTAAACCAGGTGAAACTAAAACTTTTGTGGAGTTCTGGATAGAGTATATTGACAGGAGAGAAGGTTTTTTTTCTTATCTTAAATGCAAAATGCAAAATATTTATATATATTTTGTAACAATTTTGGTATAATTACTGCTCTAAATGGATTGCTCTATCAGCCAAAGTCACGTTTTAGATTCTCTATACTCAAGTTAATGATTAAGCCCTACCGTAATTACCGGTAGTGGTTATTATTATAATATCTATGGGAAATAAAAAGGTTGGCATGAGGTGCTGCTTCGCTTTGATGTTATGACAGTAATACGGAAATATTTTGATTTATTTCTTTGGGGATTTCAGAAAGAGAGGAGACAACAACTAAACTGGACTCAAAGAAGTTCCTCATTTTAGAAGCACCTGAGGTTTGTGTTTTAAAATAGGCTGAACAGTCAGATGTCTGTTTCACTTCTGTTTCAGCCAAATGAGACCCATATCATGTGGTATGGGAAAGAACATGCAACTCTTTCTTTTCTAAAGATCGGGCTGCTCCCTTATAGTAGCCTCCGGTTTCCATAGCAAAAAAGAAACACTCATGAAGGCCAAGTTCCACTGCAGGGAGATAGCTGTAGCTGTGCATATAAATCCTGCCGCTCTGTGTTGCAGATGGAGATAGATTGTCCCCCAGAGGAGTCCATAACATCTACATTCGATGAGGACTCGGTTGAACTGGGAGACGTCAAGGATATGAGACTGGAGGCAGACGCCATCGTTAATGACGTTCTCTTTGCTGTAAACGAAATGCACGTCTCCCAAAGTCTCACCAGAGCATTAGACATGGCCTACATCAATGTGGAGACGAGAGAGGGCAACCGTTATTGTCTGGAGCTTACCGAAGCCGGACTCAGGGTAGGAGACACTTATTCACTTTTTTTTTTTGTAGTTTCTTAAAGAACCAACTAATGTTCTCTCTAAACAGGTGGTGGGCTATGCTTTCGATGAGGTGAATGAGGAGCTAAACACCCAGTACCACGAGACGGTTTACTCTCTTCTGGACAACCTCAGTCCAGGATACAGGGAAGCGTTTGGGAACGCTCTACTGCAGCGGCTGGAAAGGTTAAAGCAAAACGGACAGTAAAAAAGGGACAAACAGCATGTTGGTCACTTTACTGTGGCCTGTCTCACATGATGCCCAATAACCTAGTTGCCACTACTAATAAAGGCTGCAGAGCCAATCAACCTAATTTTATTCTCTAAATTTCATAACATTGAAGGACTTCATGTTAGATTTAGCCGCTGCTTCAGGCTGGCTGTTTGGGATCTGTTGCAACAGTGTGCTGTTTACTTTACTGTGAAAATATCTTATTTCTTCCATGTGTATTTAGTGACTAAGTGAAAATGCTGCTCCTTTTAAAACTCATCAAAACCAAGCATAGAGAAGCAGTTTCATTTGATCTTGTTCCCCTATTGAAGCTGACCTGATACCTGCTCAGATCTTGCTTAACCAGTTTGTTTTCACCCCAGATCTCCAGTAAGCAGTTATTTAGAAACAATCTGCCTTAACAAGTGAGTTTTTTAACGAAAACTACTAAGGTTCATTGATATTTAGTAAGAGAAGTTTCGGTTTTGAACTCATTTAGTTTCATTTGCCAGCATTTTGTTTAGGCTGGAACTGCTTTTCAGTTCCTATCATCTAGTTCACCTATAGTAGGGCTGAAAAGATTGATTGTGATTAATCAATTATTGAAATAATCATCTAATTTAGTAATCGATTAATCGTTAACTGGAGACTCTAAAGCTGACTGAGAAACCCTCTTAGAGCTGTTTTGTGTCAAAACTGTAATATATATATATACCGGTATATATAAACATTTTGCATTTAAGACAAGAAAAAAAAAACTTTGTCATCTGTCAATCTGCTATATGCAGAACTTCTCAAGTGGAAAAGTTTTAGTTTCAGCTGTTTTAATTTCATTCGATTTAAATAGTCATTAGTTGCAGCCAAAATCTAGATATGTTTGTTTTTTGAACGTTTGCATCTCAACCTGCAATTTAAGCTGTACAAAAGCTTTTATTGTGTTTTTTTCATTGAATCATGTGACTCGTTATGCCAGAAATAGCATTTATTGGTCTCCAGCTAAGATTTTAAAGCTGCTTTAAACATTTTTTTTACTGTAAATATAACCTGTGTCATAACCTAGACATAATCCTTTAGTGTTGTAAGACTGAGGAAGAAAAACTGCTCTCTTCCTGCATTTATACATTCCCTCCCTTGTTGTTGCCCTTTGCTAACAATAAAATCTCAGAAATATGTCAATTGTGTGCCGTCTCTTTGAATAAAATGTCCCTGTAGGAAACAAAAACACCTTCATGGGGAAAATACATGTGTAGCATATCCTACTGTTTATATCTTATTATGCTAATTGAATTAGGCTCTACTCAGAGCGTCAATCTATATTTTCTTTTACTGAAGCATTTCCCCCTCCGAACTTTGCAGCATTCTTATTTCTGTAGCTGATTAAGCCCCTACCAATGAACCTATTATAATCAAGCAAACATCCAGAGTTAAAGGATCAAAATAAATATGTTTCTAGTTTGTATTCTTAAAAAAATAATTATAAAAATATATTTAACCTGGTGCAAATATTGGACTTGGCTTATTTTAAAACACATTTGTTGCACATATCAGTTACTAGAAATTAAAACTGAAAAGGGCACACTCTAACAGCATAACAGGCAGATAAAGAAAGGTTCAACTACAAACTGAAACAGTCAAAAGCAGCTCGTAACAAATAGGCTCTTATCATTGATTTAAAGCCACTTAGGGTTTCAACACTCCTGGAAGTTTGTTTCAGATTAGCCTTTCTGTAAAAGTTCAAAAAAATCCACTGGACTTGGTTTCCAAGATTTGAAGACGTTTCGCCACCTCTCCAGGAAGCTTTCTCAATTCAAATAGCTTCCCGGAGTGGTGGCGAAACGTCTTCAAATCTTGGAAACCAAGTCCAGTGGATTTTTTTGAACTTCTACGGAATGACTATGAGCTGGATGACTGAGAATCTTCATCAGCATATCAGATTAGTGGAGAATTAGAACTAGAAGCTGCTTCTTCGTGTTAAGGGGAGTGGTGGCCTAGTGGTTAGGGCATAGAGCTTGGAATCCTGAGGCTGTGAGTTTGAAACCCACTTCCCACAGACTGCCACTGAGCAACACCCTTAACACCTCATTGCCCCACGATTGCAACCAACTGCTCCTCAAGGGGATGGGTTAAATGCAGAGGTAAATTTCTCCAATGTGAGATACATAAAGTTCAATTGTCATGTTTGATTCTAGGTATGCAGAGTAGCCTTAAAGAACTTAATGTGCTTTGGTGTTAAGCCATTCAGTGATTTATAGACTAAAAGAGAGCCAGTGTAATAACTGTAGAACTGGGGTGATGTTCTCCACTTATGAGGAGGCAGGCAGCAGTGTGGATCCACCGTCTGGTCTGCTTTTGAGGCAGACCTGTGAAGACACTGCTGCTGTAATTTATTAAACTAAAGATAGCACATGGGTGAGATTTTCAGAGACCCTGCATGGAACATCCTTTAATCCTGGACATGTTCGAGTGTTAAAAGGCTTAATTTCCTCTGTGCATTTATCCAGTAGACTGAATCCCAGGTTTTGTTCTAGACTCGATCAATATCTCAACCTTAAGAAACCAAACCTTTTATTTTCAGATGCAGAACATCTGAGGAGTTTGTTCATGTACAGATACTTTGTTTGTGCTCCTTTTTCATAACTGTTGTAGTATTTCCATGGAGGCAGTCACTCTGTGGCAATGCTGGGATATAAAGGAAACAGATTCCAACCTACATGACATGTCTACCCAAATCTAGAGCCTCTGTATTTTAGCTAAAGTCCTGAATAAATTTGATTTTGATTCATACAGTTCTAAATAGATTAATTTCGATTCGATCTGTTTTGACAATAATGAAAGTGGTTAAACTGTTTCAAAAATACTCATGTATTTTATTTTTTCCTGTCACATTAAACACAAAGTGCAAACTTGTAAATTAGACAGTTTAAACTTGAGATGTGAACAAAACTGTCTCAAAAGTGCAAACTTGTTTGTGAAAAGTGAAAAAGTGAAGCCTCACACGAGCAAGCAGACGTGACACAGCGGAGACACAGCAGACATGCATGAGCTGCATTATCTTAACTGCACAAACCATATTTGCAGCGTTGTCTGTAACAACTGCCCCCATTTGTTAATGTCTTCAGTCAACATTTTGGCTATATTTGCAGCCGTCTGGCTTGAAGTAATCTTGGTGGTCTGTAGCACAAGCTGCGAGGTGCCACTCAATCTTTGTAATGGTAAGTCACCTTAATGTCACATATCCAGCACATTAGCTGTTTTAAATCCAAAATGGTTCCAGACAACAGACTTCAGTTGAGACAGCTTGCTGAGCGGTGTTACTTGGGTTGGCATTTGCACACGCCTACTTAGTTGAATGTGAACGTCACATGCGTCACTAAAACTCATTGATCTCATTCCCTACACATTGATTTTGCAAAAATGCAAAGGAATCGATCCAAAACCTTTTTTTTTTACCCACCCCTACCCAAATCATTGTAAAACTTAAGCTGGAATCTCAAAAGATCATTCTTTGTCTCCTCATTGAGCAAATCCAGTCTCTTAACTAAAAATAATATGCAGACTTTGCTAGTTCAGAAATATCTACACACAAAGACTTCAACCACTGCTTCTCATGTCCCAAATATGTACAACGCCTCTTGAAGCTTTAATACACACATTTTTCGTCTCCATCAATCCCTTGCTTACATTTTTTATAAGGCTAGCATTTTTTTTCCCTTCCATAAAACTTTCCAGTAGCAATTATGTTTTGTAGCTCAACCTCCATGTAAACCAATGACTTAGGGCTATTTCCATGATTAGAATAGAAAATCCCTTTATTGTCCCACAATGGAGAATTATTTGGATCATAGAGACTTCCAATTTTATTTCATAACAATTGATATAAAGTCAATACACTTGCTTTAAAGGTACAAGCTCATTCAGACTACAAGAAATAAATGTTCTTACAGTTCTTTATTAGCATTTTGGTTGCATAGTTTCAATTCAACAGATCTGCTAGTAGATCATTGTGAAATATTACAACTTATTAGCAAAGACAGAGACTACACAGCAGCCAGTAAACATTTGCAAAGTAGTGGAATGTTGTTCATATTTAGCCTTATTTACAAACTTTTAATACTTAAGCTGAACATAAGGCAGTTAGTTATCAAAATGTGTGGTATTGTTCCAGAATTGAACATGTGCTGTGAATGAGGAAAAAAGAAATCTCAAGAACCAGAGATATTAGATTTTTCTTTTTTTTTTTACTCAAAGCTGAATCCCTTCTTAAAAGCAGCTCATCTGAGGTTCTTCTGTTATGATGGCTTAGCTCACAATCTGAACTGGGAATTTGATGCAGAACAGGTCTCTGTTGTCTTTATCTCTCAGCTCCCACTCCACAACACATTTGATCTAGAAATACAGAGGGAAGTCAGTAACCACAGTGCATCAGATGTTGGATCAAATAAATGAGGAAGAAGTTAACTGTTGCCATCAGATTCAAACTGCTTTGACTGATTATAGAAATAGTCACTTAAATGTGAAGCATGAGGAACTGAGTCACACTTACAGAAGGATACTCGCTCTTTACTGGTAATGAAGCCTGGTAGTTATAGGTCTGGCCCTTCGTGATAGGACACTGGATTCCAGATCTGCATCCATCTGGCACAGGGATGGGGAAAGGGAGCGGGACACCTGCGACAATACCATGAACCACAGCCGTGCTCGTGTCGCTATCCACATCTTTAAAGGATGTATAAGAACAGATCAATACACATATTTAAGTTGGACTACTTTGAGGGTGAAAGCATCTCATTGAGAAACAACACGTACTGCTAATGAATGTGACATTGACGCTGTAGGAGTCTCCCTTGTGAAGCTGACAGGGTTGCGAGGGACAAGGGTTGATGTCCACGCCGGTTACCTTGCCTGAAACGGAGCCTGGGAACAAACATGGAGAGAAACTGGGTTTGTAGGATACAGACTTATTTCCAGGGTCCTGAAACACATTGAACAGATCGTCATACCTAAATAACTCATATTGGTTTATGCTGGAGAAGAAAGGTCTTAAATTAGTAGCTTAAACTCATAAAAAGGCCTGTTTCCAGGCGACCAGCAGACCTGATTATAAAGTAAAACATGGTGGAACATCAAAAAACGCATCATCTGTGCTAAAACCAGATGAAATAGAATGGCGGAGTGAAGTCCAATCAGCTTAGGCTAATAATTAAGTGTTTCCACAGGAAAACTTACATTTCTCAGTAGGCAAATAAAGAAAACAAACAGTTTGACACCCTCCTAGAATAGAATGATAAAATTATCAAGTTTATCTGCAATTTTTTTGAGTTGCATTCACTTTAAGAGGAGTTAAACTCTAAAATAAGATAGAAAAAACACTGCAAGAAACAAATCTGTATTTCAGCCATGTGAAGAAGAAATAAAGGAATTGAAAAATGCAAATCTTCCTGTGTCTGTAGAATGACTAAAAACAATCTTTAACTGTTAACATGAGTAGCTGATTTAATCAGCATGAGTTAAATCGGGGGCGGGGGTCCATTATTGGATTTTTTATTAAGTACAATTGGTGGGACCTGATAATAGAACTTAACATTCAAATTTGAAATTTTCCTGTGCTTCGTTTCGATCTTAATATTAAGCTTTGCCCTTTAAATAAATGCTGGCCTTCAAAAACAAACAGCGTTAGGCTACTTCCCATTTAAAACCCCGACGTTTCCCAATCCAAGGCACTTTTAATGTTTTTATTATTTATTTATTTTTTATATTTTTCAATGTTTTTATACATTCCGAGAGAATAAAGAGTTAACACAAAAAAAAAAGAAAAAAAAAAGGAATGAAACTCTTAGGTGAAATGAAACTCACCACAGTCCAGGTATTTCACCGGCTGCGCCCAGCTGACTCCCATCAAGCAGAGCAAAACTATTAGACCAGTCCGCACATCCATGTTTCTAATCTTGTGTTTGAGCCTAAAATAGAACACCATTTGTTAGAATACGTTACACAATGAGTTGTTAGTTAAAAACATGGTAAAATGTGACTGAGTATCGATGTACCAACCTAAAAAGTTAACAAGTGACAAAACAATAAATGGAGACGAACAGAACCGGTCGCCTCTGTCACCCAGGTATCTACTGCAGCTTTTATAAGTTTTTAACACCAAATAAACACGCAGCTCCACTATGAAACCAACAAGCTGTTATTTCCGTGAATAGAATCACGCGATTCAAGTCACGCCCTCACTACTTCTCTGCGCGTTATGACCAGCTTTAATACGTTGAGGAGCAACACTGCCACCTACTGGAGTGACGTAAACCCAACGCTTCCCTGTCTTATTTTACATTTTGTCACAATTTTTTTATATGAGAGTCTATAGAGGTTTTTTTACGACACATATATGGCACATTTATACCAGATAAATGTGGAAATAGCCGTAATGGATTGTGGGATAAACAAAGTTCCATTGAAAAATGTGTTATAAATAGTGCTGCTGAAGAGGGAGGGTTGAATGTGGATTGACTCAGTTTGGTGCCTTTAGGCAAATAACATGTTTAAACCAAGAAAGACCCCTTTGGTTTGAGCACATATCCAAATTATCCTTTATATATTGTCTCTGAATTATGTACATGTTTTTCCTTCAATACTGCAACTTCTGCGGTCCCATTTGAATTAACAGATGTAAACAAAAACAAAAAAACTCAGCCTTAATGTATATTTTACTTATTGTTATTATTATTTATTATTTGCTTGTCCCCCCTATTTTAAAAACTATGAAATTCTAGGGTTTTTATTACACGGACAATTTGCCACTTAGAAACTCTGTTTTTGTTTTTTATTATATATGTTCTTTTACTTTGCAAAACTTTTTCTAGATGGTTGTATTATAAAAAATTTTTTATTTTTTTTTTGGGGGGGGGGGGTTAAATTTTACTGCTAATTTTTAAGGAAAAACATTGCATATCTATTCTTTCACAGGAGACACATTTTGCGAATTTTTCCTATTTCGACCGACCTATTTTGCTTCTTTTTAAATTTATTGCACCCTAAAACTGTCGTTCTTGAACTGCAAAACAGAATTTTTGACCAATCACATAGCACAACAGTGGAAATAGGGGCGTGTCCATTGGGCTGAGAAATATTTCAACCAATCAGAACGCTCTGTGTGTGTTGCTACGTGGTGGTAGTGAAATTTTCCCCGAGGTCTATTATGAAAGATGTCTGCGTTTAAAGGAGCAATGATAACTGCGTCAAAGACAAAAGTGGTATGCCTTGTGAGGTAATTTGAACTTTACAACACTGTAGAAGTAATTTCAGAACTTCCTTACTTAACATGATATTTTATTATGGTGTCGAAGAAATTAAAGGCTGCTGTCGGTTTGTATTTATCTCAGTTAGCAAGCTAGCTGTCAGTTCAACCGTTAAGTAACGCTAGTTAGCCTAGATGCTAGTAGCTTTAAAGGTATCTTGACAGTCGACATGTAAACACAGCTCTGTGTTTTAGGGCGTCCATTCTCCTAAACAACGTCGGCGTTAAGAAAGAGCTTTACCGGCTTCCTGAACGCTCCAAACCGCTTTATATAGCGGGGCAGCGGGGCTTCAGCAACGCCTCCGCCCGGAAGGAGCAGTCTGGGGAGCCGAGCTCATCAGAAGACAAGGTGCTCCTCACCGATTCATGCGTAAAGGTACGTTAATACTCACGATCAGGCTTTAAAATGTCATCTTTTTGGGCTGAGGGAGCAGGAAAATACAATTTTGATTGAAACCGTTAAAAGTAGGGATTAAACGTTTCTGAACCATCAAGCATATACATCTTCATCTTATATTCACCTTCTTAAGTTGCCAATCTTAGCCGATTCCTTGCCAAAAACATTTTTTTTATTTACAATATAAAGTGTGTCAGACAATATTCAGGGAATGTAACCGTTTTTCCAGATTTTTATGATTTTTAGTATTGATTTTTTTTAAAGTAATTTAAGTCTAAACTCTGTATATGCAATTTTTAATAAATGGGAAAAACTAATTACTTTTCAACCTAATTGTTGATTTAATATGATGTTATATATAATCAAAGGTTTTATGTTTTGTTAACTCCAGAGGCTTTCAGAAATCATGGAGAAGGGCGAGTATTTAAGAATACAGGTGGAAGGAGGAGGCTGTTCTGGATTCCAGTATAAGTTTTCTGTAGATCGCAACAAGAATGAAGAAGATAGGTAACGCTTTCCGCACACCTTCGTCTCAAAAATATTGGTTCACATAGATGTTGGGGTGTCCTGCTTGTCTCATCTAATCCACCCCTGGGTTCTTTCTGCTCTGCTTTCAGGGTGTTTGAGCAGGGTGGCGTAGGCATCATCGTTGACCAGGAGAGTCTAGAGTTTGTGAAGGGATCCACTGTGGACTTCACTCAGGAGCTGATCCGCTCCACCTTCCAGGTGCTCAAAAACCCTCAGGCAGACCATGGCTGCTCCTGTGGAAGCTCCTTTTCTGTGAAACTATGATCAGTGCATCTCCACTGTTGAATGTGTTGATTCAGTATTTTATTAGGTGGATATCTAGAACAAAATAATGATTTTTTTTTTTTTTTTTTTTGAAAAAGAAAAAAAAGATATGTGTCATTATTAAGTTTTCTTGTTGCTAACATTTGCATCAGTGGAAGGCTTTATTCAGGCAGTTTTTACTTCTACTGACAAAAAAACCAACCTTTTAACCTGAAGAAAACAGAAATCAGTATCTTTAATATGGAGACACTGTAAGCACATTGACAAAGAAAATGTTGCCCCTCTGCAGTGCTGTTGCTCTATGTGAAGTTAAACGATCTGCATTATGTCAGTCAAAGTGTTAGTGGATGGTCTTTATTAGAAAGCAAAAATGATAAGAACAGTAGCAGCTTAAATGATTTCGTTTCATTTCATTTGCCTCAGATGCCGTATTTATGCTCCGTTCCACAACTAATTGTTGTTGGTAATGACAACAGTTCATTAGTTGGAAAGAGTTTTTAATGTTTCAATAAGATGATGTGTTGGGATTAACTTTAACAGCTCAGGATGTTACATTACCACTTTGCCACTTTATCTTTCTACCAAAATGTTACTGGAATCTCATCAAATTCTGTAGGTTTGTGTAAAGGAAGGTGCATTAGCTTTAATAGTTAATGCCAAGATGCATACACTAAAAACTAACTTCATAATCTAGTGAGTAAAGGGGTATTTTGCTGTTTAAATCAGTTCTCTTCCACCAGTAACACTGAAACTGGAGATTCATTTGCCAGCTTTGTGTTTTCCTTTTTTTTTTCTTGTGTGTTTGTGAAAATACGAGAAAGCGAATCCAATATATTGATTATTTAGTCTGCTATTTGAAGAGGTGTACAGCAGCTGATGTTTTCCTACAGAACAGAAGATTTCTGGAGTGTTTTGAGTTTCCTTCCTGTAAATGATGTAAATAAGTCTGAACTGCAGTGTGATTATAAAGGTTTAATTTATCGTGTCAGATCTAAAATAAACCAGGCAATTTATGAAGCACATTTGTGATGTGATAAATTTAATTATTTCAATGAAGCAATTTCCTAAAAATCTAAGACTGGGCGCATAAAATTTTTACATAACTAAAACGACAGAAAATTGGAAAGTAGCGGAAAGAAAAAAAATATTCAGCTCCCCTTTCTCTGCTAAGCTAGGCTAGCTTTATGTGTAAGTATTGATCAAAGTGTTGAGCAGACACAATAAAGCACTGAAACAAGAATAGAAGAACACAAAAAGAAGTGAAAAAATAATTTGGTAAAAGAAAGAAATGAAAAGTGTTTTTTTTGAAAATACAAAGTGAGGAGGCTGGGAATGATTCAAAAGCAAAACTTCTGTCCCCTCTAAGCTTTTTCTCCTCAATCTCCAGTAGAATTGTTTCTCTGCTCCTATTAAATCCATCGCAGGCTGTTTGCAGAAATCCCCTAATTAGCAAACAGGAGTCCAGCTGTGTGTGATCTAATCTCAGGATAAATGCAGCTGTCCTGGGAAAGCCTCAGGTTTGTAAGTGAACAAACTTCAATGAACAGAACGGACAGGTCAGAGATAAGCTGCCGAAGCATTAAAAGCAGATAACAATAGAAAAACAATCATTAGGAACATCTTTTGGTTTTGGTGTTTATCTAATGAGAACTGAAACCAACCTGCTTTTTTCATCCTGCCATTCAAAATTTTATTTTAAAAATCTAAAGATAAGAAATATGAATTTTTACTATCTAAAATTTTACATTTCTTAATTTCTAACATTCAAGTCTTAGTAAAACATGGTAAACGGAACTTATTATTATTTTTTTTTTAAGGACTTTAGATCTAGCATTGTAAGACATTTATTCAGTTACAGTGAAGCACAATTCCTGGTAACTGAAGGAGCTGCAGAGACCTACAGCTCATATGGGTGAATCTGATGACGAGACAATCTTTTATGCAAAAGTGGGAATGCAAGGGGTCCTGTTTAAAGATTTGACAATTTATTTTTTAAGTAGCAGGTGTTGGCCATCATGTGGGAGAGGGTGGTCTGGTCAGATGAGACCAAATTTAACAGGATAGGGCTGAGTGTTCGAACTGCACCATCATCATGGTGAACAGGGGCAGCATGATGCTGGGGGAGGTTTATTTTTCCAGGATGGACTGAATGTCAGAGTAGAAGTTAAGGAGTTTGATAATTTAAGATGGAAGTTGACAAGCAATTGGATCGTCCATCCATCCATCCATCCATTATCTGACACGCTTGTCCCAATTGGGGTCACAAGGGGTGCTGGTGCCTATCTTCAGCTGTCAATGGGCGAGAGGCAGGGTACACCCTGGACAGGTCGCCAGTCCATCGCAGGGCAAAACAGAGACAAACAGGACAAACAACCATTCACTCACACCTAAGGAGAATTTAGAGAAGCCAATTAACCTAACAGTCATGTTTTTGGACTGTGGGAGGAAGCCAGAGTACCCGGAGAGAACCCACGCATGCTCAAGGAGAACATGCAAACTCCATGCAGAAAGACCCCGGGCCGGGAATCGAACCCAGAACCTTCTTGCTGCAAGGCAGCAGTGACTCAATTCATGTCAACATGCCGGTGTAAAAAAACAAAAACTAAAAAAAAAAAACAGGAAGAATATTAAAGTTCTTTTTAATTTTTTATTAAAATGGAGTTTAAGAAACACTTCACAAAAATATACAAAAAGAATATCTACAAATGGTATTTACAATGGTGAAATGTAAATCAAAGTATGCAGCAACA